AAAAAAAAGCCTGTCTTTAGTGTAAAATTTGTCAGAAATATTTGCTAGTTTCTTTATTTTTCAGCCAAAAAAGATTTCTTTTATTTGTTGTGTTATTTATTGTAGTCTGCATTTTGTTAGACGATTGTGAGGTTTACAAAAATAGATTTAACATAAAATACACGCTTAAGTAAAACGAAAAAGTACAAATAAATTAACACATGTATGTATGTACATTAGGGTGGTCCAAAAATTTATGGGGGGGAAAAGTAAAGTCGGAATTTTAATGCCGCCACCCCCTAGGATTGTTCTATACCGAAAAAAAATATATATAATTAGGCAATGCCCAACATTTCGTAGAAATGATATAAAATTCATGAAAATCTATATTTTTCGATTGGAATCTTAATGCCGCCACCCCCTAGGATTGTTATATACCGAAAAAAATATACTTCTATTTTTTCTTTTAATTTGAAAAAAAATTGGTAGTGCTCAACGCGTTCAAAGTTGTAAATATATTTTATATAGGGAAAAACAAATTTTCGTAGAAATGGCGTAGAATTCTTGAAAATCAATATTTTTCGATCGGAAAACTCTGCTTCTCTCCAGGAAATTCCCAATAATAATACCAAATTGTTTCTTTAACAATTTTTTCATAGTAACTATATTTTACAGGTCCGCCAAAACCCCCAGAAAATGCAATGGGGGACCAATAAAAAATCTTTAGTATTAAAAAAGGTTAAATAAAAAATTGGATATTAATATTGGAAGTCTCCTGAAGTGAACCACAGTTTTCCGATCGAAAAATATTGATGTTCAAGAATTTTATACCATTTATGCAAAAAGTTGAGCACTCCCTAAATATTTTTTGATTTCAAAATAAAATAAAAAAATAGGGTATACTTTTTCGGTATAGAACAATTCTTAGGGGTGACGGCATTAAAATTCCGACTTTACTGTTTTCGGACCACTCTAATGTACATACTTATGTATGAGTGTATCTAAATATGCGGTTAAATGAAGACGTCATTGTCACTCAAGGCGTAGTGTATTTGCTTTAGCTTTTTTTCTAATCTAATTTTTTTTTTTTGATAATTTGCCAGAGTTCAATGTGAGCATACGACGCGCTCAACCATTCTAAATTATGCATATTTACATACATACATACCATATTAATATTAATGCTCATTAGAGCGTAGCCGAAAAAAAATTTCAATTTCTTCCTAGTGATTTTGAAAAACTAAGAGGTCTATTCTGTGGTGGCAAGAAAAATTGTTTAGCCGGTAATAAAGTTTCTGTAAATTAAGCATTCTGCGCACTCTTGTAACCTTTAAATATTGTTACTATCTTATAAGCTGCTAACAAGATATTGTACCGAGAAATATTCAATACCAGAATTTCTACAAAACTTCATAGCTAGAATTGTGGTTACAAGTAGTGGTAAGAATTTTTGTTAACAAAATTTTGCGGTTAAAAAATCATCGATAACGTGCAGAATACATTCATACATATGCTACAATGAGAGTATTTCGGGAATGTAAACTTTTTTCGTAAAAATAGCTAAATCGGCTTTTTAACCGACTTCGAAGAAAAGAAAAGGTTATCAATTCGTCGACAGATTTTTTTTTCTTTTGTGTATTTTACCGCATCAATTTGGTCCACTTTTTTGTTAAATCAAAGGTGGTACCTCGGAAGTAGTCCCATACTAATTTGGTTAAGATCCGATCATTGAATCATGAAGAAATTAAAAGTACTCTTAAATTTTTTGATGAGAAGTAAAGTCCGATTTGCTTTTGCTGAAAAATGTCTTGTTTTCTATTGATATGCGTGCTCTATAAAGGATACACCGTTGTAAAGGTATTAAAGAGAGTTTACAGGCTTTCCCTAGAAAAGATTATCCTACCCGCTAATCAATAGTAAGAAGCTTAGATATACACTTGCAAAATTTATGAGATACTGCAATAGCTCTATATATAAAACTGTAGGTTTTCTACCTTTACAACGGTGTATCATGTATCGAAATCGGTCCTTACTTAAAAAAAAAAGTTATAAAACGCCGATTTAGCTTTTTTACAGGGTGCCGAAAAAAATTGTTGCACTGCTGAAATACTCTCATTCTAAGTGTTCAAAATCGGTTGGAACAAATTTACCTACTTTTGTACTATACATCGTGATACGATCTAAAGTACATACATACATACATATATATATATATATATGTACGCATTTAGAAATAGTCGTTTGTCAGTCACACTTTTCTTGTATTAGAAATTTACTTTGCAACTTAATTTTCCATGCATACATAAGTACATAAATAGTGTCCGTAATACCAAGCATATCACTATTTATTTTTATTCGCATTTATTTTTACTAAATTAAAATGTACGCCCACTTGTTTGGAAATAATTTCTTTTAGTTAATATTAAATTTGAACGATGGACGGCATAAAGTGGGCGTGTGACAATTACAACGCATATGAATTTATTGCGGTTTCGTTAAATTAATTTTGCCATTTTCAAGTGATTTTTCTTGTTGTTGTTGTCACTCAGCTGGATATTGTACAGAAAACAAATCAGATTTTTCATATTTCCCACCGACAATTATTTTGAATCAGTGCTGCTCTAGCTGAATAGTTCTTGTGCGGCATTTAGTCAGATGATATTTTCAGATGCAGAGAACAAAGGTGGCTGTTTGTCGCTGTTTGTATGACGTCACACTTGTGCAACGTGTTTACGATTTCCTAGCAAAATCGTTTCTTCTTTTTCCATTCTTGCTCGCATTTTGGCATTTCTCTCTCGCAAATACACCAGTGTGACGTCACACAAAAATTAATTTCAAAATTCCTCTCTGATGGGAGCAATCTTGAATTCTATCAGTCTTGTATGTAGTATATGGATGTACGTACGGATGGATGTATGTAGATGTACTTTTAAAAATTGTAAACGAAATTTTTCTTTCAAAAATAGAATTTAGCTTTTACTAAAATAATCAGTCTTCTAGACCAGCTCCTATTATTTTTTTTATTGAAATTGAATTAAAAGGTTTTTTAATTTTATTTATTTTTTCGTTAAAACCAGCATATACTCTGAGTGTCACCAAAATCGGATAACATTTAAGCACCCAAGAGCTGTAGGCGTGGCAGTGTGTCAGTTTTGACCATTTTCCACATTTCTTCATTCCTAAATGCAGAATAGAGCATATACATAAAAAATGTGTCTGCTAATTTGTAGTATGGTTAAAATTTTTGGCCGCAGCTTATATGGGGACGTCCCACTGTGCGCGTAGCCTACTACTTGTATTAATTGCAGGATACACACATATGCACATACCAACAATTATGCATTGGAAATCCCATAAAATCTAAAATAGTTTTGAATTGTAAGTAAAGCTATTTTTATTTTTATGCGTTTTTGGCTTAGTGTAGTTTTGATTGATATGCTCGTAAATATTTTAATTGCATTTCTGCATATTTACTTACATACATACATATGTATGTACAATATTAAAAGATATAATAAAAATTTGGCTTTCTTAAAATGCTGAACCAGATTTCCATTTTTCCCATTTGTTCATTGACGTCAGGGCAATTACATATTTTTTTCTCAGCTGTTAAGTTGAGAAAAATTTGATTTATTGTGTATCACTAGTACGAGTACGATTCGAATAGAATATACTGAAATGTTAATACAAGAGTTATAAGAAATATTTTTTAGCGT